TCAGGTTCTTAAGGTGGTCTCGAACCTGACCGTCTCCTAAAATTCTCAGTGCTTTAAAGATGAGGAAGTTTTGCTCACCATTTGTTGAGCCTATCTGTTGAGTTTTCCTTTAGCTAATGCTATGTTATTTTGAAGCGAAATCTTTGCTTTGTATGTCCAAGACTAGAAAGTTTTAGTTGAAAGTGTGTAAGTTGGGATGGAGCGACAAACTTCTCATCACTGATTGTTGATACAAACACAATGCAGCAATGTGTTGAAAGCCTAATGGAGAATGATTTTCTGCAGTGGCTTAATGACTCAGTCCAAAGCAGAGGAGTGGCCATCCTACCGTTAGTTACCATCAGTTTATTGCAGAAGCAGTGAAGATGCTTTTAGAGCTCACAGACTTCCTCTAGAGCTCTCCTAATAGCTTCAGCTTCTGAAGGATCCAAACCTAAATAGTCTGTGTTTAATCTCCACTGAAAATCAGGTGAGCCTGTTCTTGTTGACTCTTTTGGGTAAAGTGAAAGCTTCTTCATTCCAGGGCAGTAATGGTGATACTGTTTGTAACTGTTTACATTAAAGCCTAGCTGAGCTGGTTGCTTGAGTGGGGGTAGTAAGGGCAGCTGTGTAACTGCAATCTGTTTCAGAGGTGAGGAGGTGTCTCGAGATTCTTGTTTATTTCTTTGTTTCTGCTAGCTCTTGAGCAAAGACAAGGGTTAATTAGGTAGCAAATACCCTCAGGAAACAGGATGCAAAAAAGTGTTTCAGATGGCTGATTCACTGCAGTATTTCTGTGAAATTCAGGTCATACACTTCTCAATTTTCTATTCTTGCACATGAAAATGCAGGAGGAAACAAGTGTATGCATCCCCTGGTTTTGCATAACTTTCAGTAACATTTAAAGAGAGAGAAAAAATCAGCTCCTAGCAGAGCTAAGTCTCTAAAAGAAGTTAAGCAGTGAGTTTCACTTCTGCAGTCCAGCTTTGTAAAGATAGTATGTAGGTTTTTATTGTGTAAAGTGATAGTAAGATGAAAAAGGAAAAGCCTTAGGTTTTATTACAAGACACTGAACAGGAGACTTTCCAGACATAAAATATATAGGAAATTCTTGTTCTGATTCCACCTTGGTGAGTTAAAGAACAGTTCATTTGGCTGCATAATAATCTTTTGGATTAGTCTTTTGAGTTGAATTTGCCTATGTTAAATGTGTGCTTCCACAGACAATTTCAACATGTGATTCCTTAGACTTGAGATAATGAGTCATTTGCTGAATGTTTTGGTTGCTTTTTCTCTACGTTAATGGTGTTATGCAGACTGTCTGAATGTAGGAAGAGGACTGGTAAAGAGTATGTATTTATTATGATTGATTATGTTTAAATATTCAGTAGAAAATAGCTTATAAAATACGGTGTCTTCTGGTTTTTTTTGGGGAAAAGTTTAACAGCAGTGAGTACTGTGCTTCAAAATGTGTCTTTTGAAGATGAGTACTGATTGGTGCTCAGTTTGGTTTTTTAAAATAAAATCTCCTTGCATGTTCTGGTGAATATTTACAGGTGAGGAAGAGAGTCAAAGTAGCCACATCAGAGTCCCACGTATATTAAAGTGGGAAAAAAACTAGTTACCTGAGCTGTAAAACCCTGAAGGTAACATCCTTATTATTGCAAACTGGGCCATTGGCTCCATGCCATCTCAGAAGTGTGTCAGTCACAAGCTCAGTCTGTGCAGCAGTATTATTCTTTGAAAGGTTTTTAAATAAACAGCTGACTGCCTGAAATGCTCTCACAGAGCATTTGAGAGCTGGAGGTTATGGGTCTTAGTAACAAACAGCGAACTGTAGCACAAAATTGTTTTTAAAGTGCCCTCGTTTCCTTCCAATGGCACTTAACTAAATAGTTCCAAGGCTAGTTTGGTTTAGTGTCTTTTTTCCCTGACTCTTAGCAGGTTTCAGGACATCTGTGTTTGAACATTGTTCCAAGGGACATGTCAGATAGGACAGTAGTCTCCAGGAGCTCATCCCTGAATTTACCTTATTTTGCTGTCACAGAGAGAATGACTGTTTGTAAACTTCTGATTGGAGTGTCCCTCCATCATACCATCAGCAAAAGGAAAAAGAAGCACTTCTCTGCTCGTTTTATTTACCTGCTGCTTGCTGAAAAATTGTCTGGATGTTAATCTCCCAGCTATTTGGGAGAGTACTTTTTAATGGCACTTATGTTCTCTTGTGTGGGGATGGGGTCTAGTACGACAGATTTCTTTTTACTTAGGTATGTCTTGTTTTCTTGTGGTGCTGAAGAAAAAAGAAAAACCTTTTTCTCTTCCTTTCTGCCCCACAGCAAAGCTTTGGGCAACTGTCTTCGGAAGAATTTAGTGCTTTCCACACACAGCCTGGTAAAATTTTCATGGACAGGATTTCTGTAAAGGATAACAGTGAAGCATACATAGTCCCATGATGAGAATTCATCAGCCACTGATAGGGTGGAATTTTTGTAGTGCTGTGCAAATTATTGTGTTATTGAATTTAAATTATTCATGAAATGTTTATTCTCTGTCTTTAATCATAAGATCTTCAGTACTAAAATAGAAGTCTAACTGAGATAGCCCCTGTCTACCCGATCACCTTCTAATCGCGTGCATTTACTGATGGTAATACTCTTTTGCACATACGTTTAAGAACAATCAAGGCTTTAATGCAGTACTTTATTCTTTTTTCCAGTCCTTGTTGCCAGAGTAGGTTAGAGAGAGTAATGCAAAGTCTATGCTCTTTTCTTTTGTAAGGATGGCAATGCCAAGTATTCCTCTGTAGAGGAGATGAATAGAGCTATAAAGCAACAGCTTTGCTATTGCTTTTCAGTCAATCTACCTAATGTAGTAGAAAATTAAGACCACTACTGAACTCCTGAAGGTGCATCAAGAGAAATAAAAATCTCTGTACAGTTCTGTGGGAAAATAGAAATTATTTCTGCGCAATACCGTAGGTTTCACTGTAAGTAGGTTCTACAAGGTTTGCAAAAACAAATAGCTTGTTAATTAAAAATAGAGACAAATACAGAAAAATCTTTCTTGGGGATTTTTTTCCAAGAGAAAAGCTCTGGAGCCATGGTGAATATGTAAGGCACCATCGGTCACTTCAGGAGTGGTTAGAAGACTTCTATATTGTAACATAGTATTTTGTCTACTAAATTCATACATACATTACATATAGTATGCACTCACTGTAAAAATGCAGCAAAATGAAAATGTTGGTTTTAAAATAATCTAAAGATGGAAAGATTGTGCAAGACTTACTGAATTCTCATCTTTCTGGTAACTTAAGCAGCCCCTATTTGGGTTGATACTTAAAAAGGGTAGAGAAGTAAAACAGTACAAACCGACAGGGCCAGACTTGAGCTTAGCACTAATGTTTATTGTTTCCACATCCTCAGGGACATGAAGCCTTTTGGGAAGGCTTTCCAGAGAAAGAGCTAGCAAACTGCTCTGAAGTCAATACAAGCTTCAGTGAGAGAAACAGCAGGGCTTGGAGGACCTGTGTTAGAGAGCAACTGTTTTCTGGTACCTGCATTAAATCTCAGCTGTGCTTTTCTGCCAGCTGCTGCAGAGCAGAAGATTAGCAGATATGTCCACCGCGCTCAAGCAAGTCTTTAATAAAGATAAGACTTTCCGCCCAAAACGCAAGTTTGAACCTGGAACCCAGAGGTTTGAACTTCACAAACGAGCTCAGGCGTCTCTGAACTCAGGTGTGGACTTGAAAGTGGCTGTGCAGTTGCCTAGTGGAGAAGACCAAAATGACTGGGTTGCTGTCCATGTTGTTGACTTCTTCAATAGGATCAACCTCATTTATGGAACTATCTGTGAGTTCTGCACAGAGAAGACCTGTCCAGTAATGGCTGGAGGCCCTAAGTATGAGTATCGGTGGCAGGACGACATGAAGTACAAGAAGCCCACAGCGTTGCCAGCTCCCCAGTATATGAATCTTCTTATGGACTGGATTGAGGTGCAAATTAACAATGAGGACATATTTCCTACAAATGTAGGTAAGTGCAAGAAGAAGTCCTAAAACATAAACTGCCTTTAACGTTGTGTACTAAGCATGTTCTCTTCCCACCCTCTTTTTTAGTGATTGTGAAATTCAAGCCTTTAAACAGCAGGTGGGAAGGAGGAAGGTGTCTTGTAGGAATAGTGTCAAATGTATGAAGTATTAACTGTGGCTTATTGTGGGGTTAATGGTGGGGTATGTTAGCCTAAAATGTTTTAATTCCATTTGTTCCTAGTAAGCCTCTCAGGTTAATCACTAAGGGTGGTCATATTGTGTTACTAGCTTGTTGAAAGGTAATTTACATTGTTGAAAGCATACATTGCTTTGCACTTTGCCTAGGCACTTAGGCACTTACAGCAGATACAGAATGGATGGAAAGCAAAGTGTAATTGGAGTGATACCTGCCCTTCAAAGTATGTACAGTTATGTGCAGTACAAGTCAGTGGAGAGTCAGGAATGCAGTGAACTCTAGCTTCCCATTCTCTCTTGATTTCCCATCCAAATCTGAGGAACTGAGTAATGAATTGTTCACCAAAGTACTGTTTCTAAGACTATATATAACAAACAAGCTTTGCTATAGTTTGACCAGACAGCACAGATGAGCTGCACAGTTTTCCTTTTATAATACTATTGTTAGTTTTTCTGAAGAGTGGGGCAGATAGGTGTAACTATCTTTGCTGGAATAGTTTCCTCTGTATGAAGAGAACTTTGCGAAGATTGCATTGTGTAGTGTATGCAGTCTGAATCTTCAGCTGTGCCTGCATGTAATAACCTTAAGAATGTTATACCTTAGAGATGTCAGCATAGTTATGTATTTTTTGGAAATTTTAGGTAATGACTCCTGATTTACTTGTTGCGAGTTGTAAAGCTGGGAGCTTGCTGTAAGAAATGTGAGATGTCATATATCTCAGCCCAGATGAGTAACAAACAAGAAGAATGCTCATATGTTAAAATACTTCAGCCCAATATTTTGCAGTTTATATGCAACTGCAGTCTGTGGCTAGTTGGTAGACAACACATCAAGAGACTGTGTCTATCAGTATTTTCTGACCTTTGAAAAACCTTTTTCTTGGCCTTGGCAACTATCTGTGCAGACAGACTTGTGGTTTGTTTGCCAGTTCCTACCACTTTTCTACACTAACAGGTAGAAAGGAGGCCTCCTAATATGTAATCTAAATCTACCTTCTATAGGCTTAGTATTAAAGATCTATTAATATTAATTAATTAACCTTTATTTTCACTTAGAGAAATTAATGACTGAAAACAATTGTTCATTCTTCAAAGAAGTTGAAATAGATCTTGTAAGTTGATATACTCAGCTGTGAAAAGAAAACAGGCTTAGGTATGTCCTTACTAGTAGAACAGCAGTTTTAAAGCATTGAGTGGCTGTAACTTAAAGAGGTTAATTATTGCTTTGGATCTTTGTAGCATATGGTCTTCAGAGAACTGTTCTGGTAGAAGTGTATGTCTAGTGGATGGGGTTTGGGATAACCTTTCCATCAGCAAATGAGTTTGGTGAAGAGATCCAGGGTCGGCTTGATAGGATTTGTCCACAGAAACCTGAACATATTTTTCTCAGTTTAATCCTATTAAATTTGTCCTCTTTCATTTGATATAACTCATGCATACTGTCTAAAAAGGGATTTCAAGAACTGTGATCAAGTGCAGCTTTCACTGAGGAGCTACTTGCAAGGAAAATAACTCATTTCAGGATAGGCAGGACAGGGACTGCCAGGGTTGGTGATAGGCAGGACAGGGACTGCCAGGGGTGGTGTGTTTTTTTTTTTTTTTTTTTTTTTTTTGTGGTGGTGTTCCTCTGTGGTTTAAAAAAAACCTGAACCCTTGAATGCACTTGAGTTATAAGTTGCTATGAATGTTTTATTTAACCCTCTCGGTGTTTACACTGGCATGATGACCTCTGGCCACTTACCGGTCTCTGTACTTTGTGTGGTCTAATGCTGTTTCCTCTCTGCTTTTCCCAGTCATTCTGGTCTATTCATTTGCTGGCAGAAAGCCTCTTGTTCCAGCCATTCTCCTACTAGTACTGAACTGGCTGGCTGGAGAAAGGGGAGCTGGTATGGGAATGGGAGAGTTGTCAAGAATTGTGTGTAAGTGACAAAAGCAGGTGGTGAATATTAGGACCACTTCTTTGTGCTTTATGGACTGTCTTTGTAAATGGCCTCACAACTTGTAAAGGATTTTTAAACATGCTTATTTCTTTGTTCTTACTTCCATTATTCGCAATTTACTTTATCCGTTTTTAAGTAGATTTAATGCATGTAAGAGGCCAACAGCTCTGAAAACAAGTTCTGTATGTAACCACAGATATATCCTGACCTGTCTCAGCCCTCACTGAGTGGGAATGCAGCAACACAGTGGAGGAGAATTCACTCTGTATCCCTGCTTAGGCCACATCGGTGGAACTATCCATATTAGTCCCTAGCATGAGTTTTTGTAGTGTGCTGGAGTTTTATTTAGCTTTAGGGTAGACTCTTTCTTCAGTAAATACTAGTTGCTTTTCCAGGCACCTAGTAGTCTCACTATTTAAATATGTTTCAAGGGATATATTTCCCACGCTGGTATGGATAACTTAAATGCTCCATAGCCTCAAAAATACCTTTCTCCTCCCTACCCCACCCCTTTGTTTTGTTTTTTTTTTTATCTCTGTGTTTTTCAGTAAACAGGCTGAAGAAATACTGTGGGAAGCAGTAGATCCTTTGGACAGTTGCAGTTTTTGGTGAACTGCAGTTGTCAGCTTCCACCATATGTGTTTGGGCAGCATGAGAAAAAGAGGCTGCCAAAGCAAGGAATGCCCTACTGCTGTGCTCCCTTCAGGCCCTGATTCCCAAACAAGACAAACTCAGTTGCCTTAGGTTTTCTCTCCTCCTCATTGCAGCCTTACATTGGGAGTAGTTCTGTCTTGTTTGGATTTTCATTGAATGGAATGTTTTTTTTCTGTTACAACGGTCATTGGGAAAGATTCCCAGGTATTTAAGGCCACAGGGAATTATTCCATTTATTCTAATCTGACTTCCAGCATAACACAGGCGAGAAAACATCACCATGTGGTTTCTTCATCAGGTCCAGAGTTTGAAATGAGAAGACAGTCAGAAGATTGATTGTTAGTGGAGAAGCTGCTGCCCGAGCATTCACTTACCCACCATTCAGAGAGTCACACACACACCACTCGGGACTTTACTGCTGGGACCAGGGTCCCTCTGACTCATGGATGCCCCTTCCAACTCCTTGCTTACTGCACCCGACCCCTCCCCATTCTTCAGGCTCACCCTAAGGTTTCTGCAGCAGAGTCTCAGTTGTTCAATTCCAGGAAGAAACAGTTTAATAATTGGGTGATACAACCAAAGGGACAGCTCGAGGTGGTGCCTCTGAAGGAGGACCTGAACAAAGAAATCTCTGGGCAATTAGACCTTCGTGATCTCTGCATCCACCCCTCACATGTCTTTGTATTCCAGTGGTGATTTTTTTTGGCTGGGGTCTTCTAACATGTTACTGGTTTCTATCTCTGTTTTCATACAGGCAGGCTGTTAACTGTTCTTATCTTGTTGAGTCCTGGCTTCTGATGGTGGTGGCCTCCTTATCTTCTGGTTTGTGCTTCTTGTGTAGTTTGTTTCTTTCATTTTAAGACAAAGCTTTGCTGGGGGTGGTGGGGTGTAGGGAAGAGTCACATTGCTGGCTGTTAACTGGTCATTCAGTCACCCAGTGGTGGATGCATATAGCTGTAGGCTACCAGTTGTAGACTTCTATAAATTCCAAACAATCTTTTTTGCTTGATTTTACACCTGTCATATCGCTGGATTTGGGCTAAGGAAGAATGCAGCTTTGAAAAGCTTACATTCTTTTCATCGTTGCTGCCCTTCCTTGTTCCCTCCTTGGACATGGGTGTGCTTGCTGAGAACTTTGAGTTAACGTCTTGTGCCAATGAAGTAGAATTCTGCAAGACATAAGACTGTTGTATGGCTGTAGTTTTCCTGTAGTCTTTAAACCTGGTGAATTCTGTGCAAGTTTTGTTCCAGGAAAGTTAAGCAGCAGCACGTCTGTCCTCTTAGAAGGCTTGGTGTCTTGAAATACATGCACTTGGAAAATACAGGTAGATATTTTACGACTGGATTATATGTCAGAACTTTCTCCTCCTCTCCCCTTTTTCCTGTTCTTGTGGTTCAGGATCCAACACATTCTTCTGCGTAAACTAAGCTGGCAGATGAATCAACCCATGAACCTAGCACATTTCCAGAGTACCATCAAAGAAAATGGATAAAAACTGTGTTGGTTCCATCTGTATGGTGAGTGACACAGTTTACTAGGTAGCTATCTGTCTGGCCTTAGCATTGCATTACCTTCTTGCTGACTGTTATATTTTGGAGCAGTTTAATTCCCTATTTTTGTCTGGTATCTAAAATGCCTCGATTAGGCACTCTGCTTATACAAGAATAGGCACTGAAGCTTAGGAGTAGTTTCGGCAGTCCTCAAGCCCCATCATTCTTGACTGATGGGTGACTGCTCCCAAAGCTATTCTTCCTAGCTGGCTCAGCCAGTGTACCCTCTTGTTCTGATTCAAGATCTGCCATTTGAGGCACATATAGGTCTGCTTCCAGCTCAACCTATTCTGGAGTCTAGTCCTGATAATAAAAGAAAATACGTGTAATGGTAAGTGCAAATTCTTTAGCACATTCTAAGCTTTTCCATGAGAAGGAATTGGCGCTGCTGGTTCGAAGCAATGCTGCCTCACCTGGAGAATGTATGTTACAAGTCTGATGCCTCAGTTTTCTCTATGATGGTAATTACTGAGGGCTAAAAAGCACTTTTCCTAACATGTAGAAAAGCAGGTCTCAGCATCTCCCTGCTACCAAAACTTTTTTTTTTTTTTAATAAAAAGGTAATTAAACTTCAGTGGTAGCATGAATGGTGGAGGGAGGCTAGTGGGGAGAGGGATGTGTCAGCTGGCTCTGCAAAGGCTGAAAGGTTTCATGTTCTCTGCTC